AACCGGCTACCAGCTAATACCTATGTGACTTCAGCAAACACTGCTTTGGCCTCCCGAAGTCCTCCATCCTTTCCACCATAACAGGAGGCAGCGTGTTTGTGCCTCCAAACTGGAAGCTGCAGCTACTCTCCAGCCCCTTCACCTCCTCAGAATGAAAGCCCAGACAGTCTTAAATGTTTAATTATTTTGTGACTCATTGATGGCACTGTGGCCTCTTTGCTGTAAAAAAAAAAGAAAAAAAAAAGAGAGGATATAACTGATTTAGAGCTGTGCTCAGTTTAAAAAAGAGTAAGAAAATGAAGTTTTTGTTTACCTACCACCCTCTAGAAAAGAAGAGAGAGATCTGGTGTGATACAAGTAGTTAAACCCTGGGTGAATTCTGCACGTTACTCTGCAGAAGGGCTGAAAGTGCTTTAATACATTCCCAACATGCAATGGGTATATGAAGATGTTTTTCGGAAAAATATTGGTGATAGAAGTGCTTAAAATAGATTGGAGGGGGGAGGTTAATTGTATCAGGACCACTCTAATATCCTTTTGCCTTTGAAATGAAGAATCTCAGTTACTAAGACTCTATACATGACTAAGTATGAGAAGATATTTCTTAAAAATATAAAATTAATATAAAAATGACTCCTTTTAAAGCTGTATCATTATATCATTTCCATTATATTTCTGGGGTCTGTGAAGCCTTGGATCTGCCTCCTCCAGAGTAAAATCTCAGCCCCACGGAAATTAACTCCTATACATCTTTTATCCCTCTTTGCTCGCTGGGGCAAGGAGCTCACTAGCAAGCATAAAGGTCCCACTGTTAGCTTTGCAGCCTCATGAGATAGGAGCTTAAACCATGATCACTAGCTTAGAGCAGAATGTTGCCTGTCCTGGGCCTTAAGCCAGTGATATTTTGGAGGATGGCTGGGAGTGCCACATTTCGGAGGGAGAGAAGTAAGCATTTTTTGACAGACTGGTCAGAAAAATGAGACTAACGGTGCTAAGGAGGTTGGAATATGATGAAAATTTGCATGGATTATTGGAGAGAAGGGCAATTAAAGGTGTATGGGGAATGAAATACATCACACTGGTATCATCTGCACTCGTTCTCTTATTATATATGTTTATATATTATTTATGCATATACAATCCTCCTTTTCCTGACAGAAAGGGCTGGCAGAATGAGCATTTTTGCACTGCAAACACAACCAATGGAAAACATTCAGCAGCCAGCACGGTAATGAACTTACACTATAGATTTTTCACACTGCCTAGTGATTCATGAAATGCTTTTCAAAACTGGAAATATGCATCGAGGATTGGTCAAAAAAGGTAGAAACAATATTA